AAGAATTCTTAAATTGCAAAATTAAATTTTTAAACCGATATCAAACTTTTGTTGGTGTTAAATATGTGTTGGTTTGATGTCGAAATACATTTGGAAGAATAAATTTAGTTCGATATAAGAAACCGAACCGCTATTCAAAAATTAATCAAACATGGTTTACTGTGATACCGTCAAACTACTAATGTTCTTGGGTTACTTCTTGTAATTTAATTTAGTGTTTATAATTTCATTAGAACGTTAAGTTTTAGCTAAAATCGCCAACTCACAATGTAAGTATTAATATTTAATAATACTATTTAAATAGAAATACTAATTTCAAATGTCATTTGATCAATTTATCTACAGTATGCAGTAGGATTTGCTGAAAATAATAATAGAAAAATAACAACGATGTTTTAATACTTAAAAACATAAAAGTTTTATTACATAAAATAATTATATAAAATTTTTTTCAAATAACATTTAAACAAATAAGTCTTGGGTTTTTATATAAATCGAACATTGCGAAATTCCCTTATATTAAAAAAGTGAAATGTACAGACATTTTTTTTTTTTGTCAAAAATAAATCTATTTAATGTAATTTTATATAAATTCACTATCTTTCTGGAATAACTAAAATTAGTGATAGATATATTTTACAAAAATAATTACTATCATATAAAATATAGCCTTTTCAAATGAATAAGATGGTAATTATTAATTCATATAGTTTTAAGTGACTAATTAATAATAATTAATCATCTAAAAAATTTGGATTCAAATGCTTTTTATTTAAATTTAGAGTAATAACATAATATTTTATACATTAACTACAATTTTGTACAGTTTACTAGTTTGAGTTAAGGCAAAAACTATTCATATGATTATGCTTATATAATGATAGCGAACATTATGGAAAGTTTACAAACTAATTTTCTGAGAAATAGTCTATACTACTGTTCTATCTACATTGAACCATTATGAATAAATTAGTAGAATTTCTGAAATTTACTAGTCTATCAAACTATTAACATTAACAGCAAAAAATATTTATGTTTATTTCAATACACTTAATAAATGACTACAGAAACGAGTCTCAAAATGTATAAATATTATGTCTAACTACGTATATTTAATAATAAAATCTAGTGTCGTAAAAATGTAGGGGTGTAGCTTTTTCAATTCAAATTCTATTTATGCAAGCCAAAACTCAACAATATGAATACATTTTATTATTAATTAAAATAAAAAATTGTGTTTCAGGGATTATTTTCTGTGGATCGGGTTGTTCGTTATTTACTGAAACAATTATATCTAGAAAACATATTACAATTGTATACATTTAATTATTATACACAAATATATTAAAAAAGTAGTTTTATTTAAAAAAATAATGAAATACTCCAACAATTACTCTGACTATAATAAAAATTGATTACTTGTGGCTGATTAATTAAATCAAATTAAAACTATATTAAAAATATTATTAATTTAAAAACTAAAAATTATTAAACTAAAAGTATAGTTGATAATGTTAACATTGCTTCCGAAATACCTATCCCCGGTTTTTCAGTAATTTTTTGTGGCTTTTTGATTTTAATATTATTAGTTTTTAAATTAATAATATTTTTAATTTTATTTAATTAATCTGACTACTCAAAAAATGTCAACTGTCATAAAACTTGTGTTGATTAAAGAACAATTTTACTATGGCAAAATATTTCATCTTTATTTCATTATAAACGGTTTTGTAATTTAAAAGTCGTACGCTGTCCTAAAACTCAACCGACCTAAACACCGTCCTGACATTTATTTAGTACTTCAGTAGAACAGCCCATTTTAAGTTGGGGGTATGCATTTTGGTGGTTTGAACCTGTCCAGGACTGTCATTGAATCGGGTTATGCGCCGTAATTTATATTTACAGTGAACGTTGTCAGAATAAAAACTGTTATTGTTATATAAATTAATATTTTCATAATGAACTTGGGATGTTCAAAATTAATTTCGAAGTCTGTCATATCTAAGAATTGATCATTTTCATGGAAAATAGAATTGTGCTGAATTCAATTACCTGACACATTGACCTACCAGAACGTTTCTACGGTTCAATTATTCATCTATACCCCTCGCACATACTTTTTTGATTTTTGTAACCAAAGAAAACAATTTTGAAAGTTGATCCCCTTTTTAAATTACATTTCGGCTGTCAAATAAACGCAACGCTTGCATGCCACGGGGATCGGCGCACTTGGAGTCTCTTTTATGGCACAAGTATTCGTAAAAAAGGCTAAGAAAACTTGGCGGTTATGATTAAAACTCTTAGAATGGCCTGAAAAGTTTCTGAAAGTATTCATTAAATTAAACTCTACTGCTTGTACAGCCTAAAATGGCTCGCCAGTAACCATGTTGAACGCTGCCGCTCATCTTTTGTTTATGGTATTAAAATGTGCTCGCTAAAACGACAATGGCCGGACATTAGAGTTTAAACTCTGAGAACGTCGTCGTTTGGAGTGTACGAATTAATTCATTTTTGCTTTGAAACGCAAACATTTTTAAACTATACTTCTTGTTAATTATAAAAATTAAAAACAAATGACATCATTATAAATAATAATGTTAAAAAAAAAAAGGGGTATAAGTAGAAATTAAAGCAAAATAGAATCAACAAAGCATTTGATAAACGAAATTTTCGTTTGCGAGCTAATTAAGTTTGACTTTTAAATATTCTCACAAAAATAATTAAATGACTCTTTTATGCGGAACGATTTTTCTTTTATTTTATCAGCGTTCATTTTTCTGCCTTTTTTCATTTTCTATCGTTTAAACGGAGATTGTTATCTCCAAACAAATTGCGTTTGCTCCCCAGAAAGAAAAATATTACATAATTTAAAACGAGTTATTTTTTGTATTCCGTAATCGTTCCACGGATAACAGTAATTTAAACTTCAACCCTAAAAACGTTACCATATTTTCTGAATACATCCAAATCGTAAACGATGATACATATTTACCGATATGTATAACATATAAATAGAAAATATAATTCTACATTTAAGTATAATTAGGATACCCTTTTTTTTTTTTTGATAACGTACTCAATGATCAAACAATTACTTTTCTCCCTTTATTTTAAATGGAATATTATTCTGGTATTAACAACAGCTCCAGAGTGTATTTAAATGCCGGATAGGATTCTCGTGTACTTAACGACTAGTTTGGAGTGGCCGACGAAATTATTTTTTGATACTTTTCAAATTATACGTATTAAATTGAGAACACATTTCATTAACTTCGTTGTCCTTAATAATATAGGCCGATAAACGTTTTTTTCTGTTTTAAAAAACAAACCAACCATGTAGAATCTGTCGAACCACGTTATTCACATATTATTAATACGAGAGCGTTATAATTTCTGGAATTTAAAATATTCGTGTTGCACCAAAGATATATTGTGCAGTCGTACATTCTGTTTTGTCTCTGCTCGTGTCAGAAGTTTACTGTTAAAAATATACATTTGTTGTGTTTTAGACCTGAACGTGTAAAACCCCGTCCAGTTGGGCCGCCTCGTGAGTGTAATAGTCAATTACAGGGTGACATGGGTATCTACCTATACGGTTTTTTTTTTGACATTTAGACACCTCGTAGGATTATTTTTCTTACCCGATGCCTTAAAGTAATAAGGGTCTGTTTCTTTTAACTCTTCATAAGCGCAATTTGTTCCGGCGGAAAAGGAAAAAAAACTAGAAGAAATAATGTATCCTCCTGCGTTTTAATTGTTCTAGAGTGTTTTTCCGAGTGATCGCAGCACATCATGAAAGTTCGAGTTTCACAAAACGAATGTAATTATAACCATAACAATAATAATACAAACACTACTTGCAACTCCAACAACAATTATTAGAATAAACAACTCAATAACATTATACGCTTGTAAAATTGGTGGGTGCAATTAAAACGTAAGACTTTTTGTTAAATTAGTTCACGCCCTACTGTGGGGCAATAATAAATGTATAATCGCGTGTACCGACGAAACCCAAATTACTTTTTGTTTTACATTTGCGTGCGAGTTCTATCGTGATTTTTTTACTTACATTTCATATTTGTACAGAAATATTTATATACATACGATGGGATATGTATTAATAAATTTTATAGTATCAACTATGACAGATAACCATTACGGTCAACCATTGCCATTGTATGCTTATCATCGAGGCTCAATATTTATAGCAATAAAAAGTGTTATTTTAAGCGCTATACTGAGCACTTGGAAAATAATGTTTTCAACGCTTTAATGTGTTTCAAAATATGTGGAAAAAAAAAAAATGTTCAACTTTTATTTCGTACATTTTTCTACAGTTTTTTATTTAAAATGTACACTTTTATCGTATAATTTTTTAAAAATACATAGACTTGTATTAAGGGCGAAGTGTTATACTATCGTGTTTTTTATATACAATAATTTTTTACCCTGTATCTATACGCATAATTTATTGTTCACAATATTTTTACTGAAGCTACCCAAAGAGTGAACGTGGAGAAAAATTAGCCGCTTAAAAAACACATATTTCTATACGGTTCATAGAAATAATAAATTTCAAAAATATATGGAATTGTTTGCCATAAATCAGAAGATACTGTAAATATCGACTTGACTATCAACTATAGTTAAGACAATCCAATTTATTTCAGTCCGCTCCGTCAAAGTTACTGGTGTACGCACGCGCTTAACTCTTTGAATTTTTTCCATAAAACGATTTAGTCCGTACAATGTTTTTCGGATGATGTGATTCGGACACACGCGAAATGTTTTTTTTTTTTATTACTGAAAAAGTATTCAATTTATCAGTGTAATATGGCGAAAAACAAACACGTGCAAAACGCAATGAAATATATATATTTCTAGTGGGGACGTGGGACGGGGTTCACTGCGATGAGTACATGGCGGCGGCGACCCCTCGACCGGTTATCTGGCACCGTTTTCGCAGCGCTGGCTGGACTGACGTCGGCGGCAGCGGCAACAACTGTTCAGTTTAGTTTGGTGTGCCGCCGAGTGAGGTACCGTCGACGTCCCGTACAAACTGCTGCACCGCTGACGTCGAGTGATTTTTGTGCGTTCGACTTCGGCAGCCACAGTGATAACAGTTATAATCGTTTAACGTGTGTTTCTCGACGATAAGTGCGGACAATTCTGTAATTTTTTTACAACGATTTTTACTCCGTTACCCGAGTGTTGTGTTAATAAAGCCGACCGTCGAGCACCGCCGCGTCTAATATAATAATTAAAACAAAACAAAATTAAACCGGTTTTGCGCTTCGTCGCTGACCGCTCGTCAAGTTCTACGAATATAAATAGTTTAGTTTACCTGAATATCGGAGTACAACCAAAAATTAAATCGACGCCCAAAGTCCTGCAGGACTTGCACTTCTATTGGTATTGAGGTAATTTTGAATCACGAGTTAAATATATATATATGTCAAAAAACGGTTTTCCGACAAGAGATAAAAACCCTAAATAAAACAACTGTCGGGTTAGCGAAAGCACCGCCACCTGTTTGGTTTTAATATTTCCATGCCAAAAACCGATTGGGGTGTTTGTGTGTTTTACGATATTCTGTAGCTAATTATTACAGGTCCCTTTTTCATCTCACCCCTTTCCCCATCGGTGCATTTGTGTTGATGAGTTTTCGATGACTGTTTAATGTGTAGCTTTGCACACAACCACCCCCTCTGTCAAATCCTCGACAGATATTAATATGGCGTAATTGACCGAACTCTTGGAATGCATCGAAGTGTTGTTTTCGATTAAAAGTTTTTCGCATTTTGTTTTCTGTTGAAATTTATTGTTATTATTTTTTTGTTTTTCCATTAGCACCACTATCGTGTATTAGACCCGTTTTGCGAAACTTTAAATTATCTGGATCGCGGCGACTCGACATTTCCACGTTCGCTTTGTTAATTAATACAATTAATTCGGCCAATTCACTTGCGTTCATTCCACATTAGTGTATTCGCATCTGTTAAACGCAATAAACTGGACGATTTTCTAAATGTATTTTAATGCCGAATTTTTATACGTGAATTATTTAGGCGCGTCTCGTACTTAAGTGTACTGGCCCAAATGAAATCGTACTAAAATAATTGTTCGCCTTCGTTGGGCACACTTTTCGAAAAATCGTTTACCGGACGACTGCAGCCTTTAATGCACTAGAACTATACCTTAAAAAATAAGGCGCGAGAAAAAAAACGGTTGTCGACTTGTTCCTATTTGGCATCTTATTATTGTACAAATCGAAAGGTGTAAGATAAATTCGGAAAAAACGCAGTGTCGATAAATTAAGACTCATTTCATTACCGGTATTTATTGGCGATGTTCGTTTATTGGTACCCGTTAATTATTTTTTTCATGTTACATAAGTACTAACAAGAGTTTCGATGGGGTAAAATCTATTACTTGAAATATTTCAAACAATTTCGGTTTATTCCCAGCGGTTATTATTGGGCCGTACATAAAACATTATAAACACAGACAGACAGACATTTAACCCATCTCAATAATTATTATTGCCGTCGCGTATACAACATTACAATATGAAAAACCTTCAATACAAACATTCGTAATGTTTTGTGCCATTTATTACATTTTGGATAAACTGCCGCTGGAAACCTGACATCCATTAAACGCAGTGTAAACATTTGAAACAATAACGGCACATCCCAACGAAATTGGATTTTTTTTTTACTCGTGTCAGACGAATTAATTTTATATTAGTCCCCATTGTTAAAGATTTCTTTTTAGTCCGCATATTTCCCTCGTATCGATTGTCACTCGTCATGTATGTGTGTGTTCGTACAGGTAAACAATAGGTAAACGTCAACCGTAGTGGTGGTGGTTTCCACTGTGCAGTGGAAGTATCCGCCTAAAACTCGAGAGTTGTCAATGCGGTTTTTTAAGCGATTTCTAAAACGTTTGTTTTTCTACTATCCACGAAGCGTGGGAATTTCGCAAGCAGTTAATCCACAAAAATGGTTTTATTGGAAATAAAAAATATATGGCGTCTAATTACACCACCTCGAGGCGAATTGGGTTGGAGTAGGCGTTTAATCAAAGCGGCGTTTATGAAATTTATGTGTTTATGCGCCTGCCCATGTGCGTATGGGAATTTAGCATTGGCACATAGGCATCTTCCACGTTGTTTGTAGTATTTGTTTTGCACGCTTACAGAAGGGCTTGGCTATGTGTTTACCGTCAGATTCAACTTGAAATCATAACACGGGTTCGATATTTTCTTGCCCGGTTGTGCCCGACAGTTATTTTTTTACATCGGCCAGTCCGTCGTGTGTAGAACGACGTTTCCAACTCTTTTCGCATCCGGCAGCATATTTTTCGGTGGCCGTCTCGTTTTTATATTGTTCATTACCACCACCGGGCCTCCCGTGAATTGTCATTAATTAACAATCGAAATGTATTTTTAATTTTCTTCCGATTGTGTTTTTTCGTGGTGGAAATGTACTCGGAACTCTCAGTCATTAGCTTCCGTTCTTCGTTGGAAATAACGACAGCCGTGAAACCGAACGAGACATAAAATAACGCAGTCTCATCGTGTGTATGATTTGGTCCCAAGTCATTTCACAGCCGTTCTCTGTCATTGATCGTACGGCCGTTCACTAACGTAGGTGGTACTTACCCCTTTTATCGAATAATTCTATGGGCTGGTGCACGTTATGCGTCCAAAGAGGACTCAGTAGGATGACACGAAAAAAAAAACGAATATCTCTAGTCATTATCGTCTATGTATTTAAGGGTTGTGTCTGTATATTATTAGTAATACAATGGCGTACAAATTACGAACACTATATTCGTTTACTAAAATAGTGTGTGTGCGTCTTTGGTATTGTTCTACTTGGGCGTTCGGCAAACGGAATATGTGGAAGATCTGTCACACACACACACACACACACACACATACTGTCGTCGCGTCTTGCTTCATCGGTTCTCCCGTCGGCAGCCGTATAACGACGTCATTGTACGCCGGCCAGAGTGCGCACCTGCTCGCCGCCCTTGTGGCCAGAGCTCTGTATGCATGCGCCCCCCGTATCCTGTGGTGTTTCTTGACACATCCTATCGCGGTCTGTGTATAATTACTCGGTTTTTCCGATTTCTCCGGGTACGATTCCTGGGACGGTTCACTGGACACGAATAATGTGGACGCCGTCGAGTAGATGCGACGACTTTCCGTTCCGAAACGAAAAAAACCAAAACTGATCCTTTTGAAACGCGCGTCTTTCGAATCCGGTAATTGTAAATCACAATATACCGTCGGAATCCAAAGTGATCGCGGCATCATATTATTGGAACGTCTGCAGGTATTGTTTCCTGCGATTGGCTTTAGTCAGTAATCGCCGGCGGGACAGCGCGAGAAAGGTGACCGAACTATAGGGATGTCGACACGACGGGTAGGACGAGAATTCCACGAGGGCCGGATCCCTTTTACGCGATAAATAATGTATATCCTGCGCGCGTACAAAAGGAAGTCAACACACACACACGTACGTGTGTGTCGAATGTTTCTCCGGGAAAGGCAAACACCGAATTCCTTTTCGATTGTATAAAAATCATATTTATTTCCAATGTTGGCGGCTCTTGCTGTTTTCGGTTCGTCTGAGATTTGCACATATTACCGTAAAACGTCGCCCCGAATATATTGCTGGCCCATTATGATAATCGTCCGGGGAACGGCACGATGATTGCGTCGTGATTGAACAATCGGGATTTGTCGGCCGCGCGGTGAAATCCTCCCCGTCCCAGAACAGTTTTAATGTATGATTTTTCAAAAGCGTATAATCACTGGATCGCATGCGCCGGCGGGGGCGGTTGATGATTTTGGATTTCGCACGTTCACCAATACATGCATCGGTCGAAAGATTAATGGCCGGTACGTTTTCGTTTGTATTTATTAATGATTCGAAGATGATCCGGTGAAAAGACGGCGAGTACGAGACGCGACGTCATGCTGAGGGTTATCCGCGAGGAAGGCGGCGTATACGAGAGTTGCGTATCTCTTCCGGTGCGTACGGTCACGTTGTGATGGCGCGCGTTTACCGTGTGTCGTCCGACGACCAAACTAGAGCGTTGTGTGTCTGTCGATCCAACTTACTACACGGTGTCCAGTTCGTCTTTGTTTGCGGCGTCCAAGAATAATTAACACTTAATCGGTTGTCGGACATTGCGCGTGTAATTGGGCTCTGTGTAAATACAGTTAGGAATTTCGTCCTAATTACACTGCCGACCCCGCGGCGGCGGCCAAAAAGTAGGACGCCGGCGGTGACGGGCGGGCGGTTTTCACACGGCTCGCGGCGGTCACTGGAATTCCTCGGGTGATAAATCATACTGTTGATGACGACTGGGTCACCGTCGCGGGGACGTGCCGTGTGGGTCGACTAGTGTTTTCCGAATTAAAAGAAAACACAATCGGTGTGCGCGTCGCACTGTTTTTTCCGACATCGCAATTCCGTTTTTTTTTTATAAAATGATAATTCACACCTTTTCGTCGGTCGTCTCGATTCGAGGCGTTATAACTTATGAACAAACAAAATACACTCGAAAGAAACGTGCAGTCGAATGAATGAATTCCTCGCCATTTCCCTGATGACTTTTTCTCGTAAAATATTAAAAAAAAAAAAAAGCACTCGAATTTTCGCTTAATGACACGATTCGAATTTGTATTCCAATGGATGGCGAACAAACTATTCGACTCGCTGCTACAGCCATGAAAAATATGTGATGTTTTCCGTCTACGCAATATTTTAGTTTTTCCGTCGAAGCTCAGCTTTTTCTTTGTCCGCCATAAGGTTTTTCTTGGCCGGTAATGCAATTTATATTTTTTAGAAACCGTCGGTTGGCCGTTGAAACGGAATTCGCTCAATAGCTCGTTTTCGTAGATGAGGTTCAAATTAAATTTGTTGTCTTTGCTCGACTGTGCGGGAAAATAGAATACCAAATGGGAAACGCGCTGTGCTCCGAACTGTCGGCGTGCCAATAAATCTCGTAATAAATCGATAACGATTTTTGAAATAAAGTTTTTTATTTTTTAATGTCTTGTAAAAACAACGGCGACCGACCGCCGTTATTGTGTGGCTGCTTTGCCCCCGAGCGGTGTTTTGGACCTACGCGCCGAATAAACGAAAACTTTTTCGGTGTACGTTGTTTACATTGTGTACTCGGTATTATCTTCGGGCGCAATCGCTTTAGAAATTAATTAAAACAAATACGTGTTCGTTATTAAGAATAAAATACGTATTCTGTGGGTATTTTTAATTACACCAGAACAAACATCCGTCGCCGTGTCCGAGTGTTCGTCCCACATAGCGAAATCGGCCGGTTTGTTTCCATCGTGTAGCTGATATTTGTTTGTGTTTTTTTTACCGCTCCGTTAAATGAT